TTAAGCCTCTGCCTTCAGCTCAGGTCATGATCTCAGGATCCTGGGATCAAGGCCCGCATGGGGCTCTCTGCTCAGCAGGGAGCCTGCTTCCCCTTCTCTCTCTGCCTGCCTCTCTGCCGAATAAAATCTTAAAAAAAAAAAAAATGGTCTTGATGAAGTCCCAAAAGTTCATTTTCGCTTTTGTTTCCTTTGCATTTGGAGACATGTCGTGAAAGAAGTTGCTGTGGCCGATGTCGAAGAGGTTACTGCCTGTGTTCTCCTCTAGGATTTTGATAGATTCCTCCCTCACATTGAGAGGTCTTTTATCCATTTCGAGTTTATCTCTTTGTGTGTGGTGTAAGAGAATGGTCGAGTTTCATTCCTCTATACATAGCTGTCCAATTTTCCCAGCACCATTTACTGAAGAGACTGTCTTTTTTCCACTGTTTATTTTTTCCTGCCTTGTCGAAGATTATTTGACCATAAGAGTTGAGGGTCCATATCTGTGCTCTCTACTCTGTTCCACTGGTCTATGTGTCTGTTTCTGTGCCAGTACCATGCTGCCTTGGTGATCACATCTTTGTAGTAAAGCTTGAAATCAGGCAACATGATGCCCCCAGTTTTGTTTTTCTTTTTCAACATTTCCTTAGCAATTCGGGGTCTCTTCTGGTTCCATACAAATTTTAGGATGGTTTGTTCCAGCTCTTTGAAAAATGCCGGTGGAATTTTGATTGGATGGCATTGGAAATATAGATTGCTCTAAGCAGTACAGACATTTTAACAATGTTTATTCTTCCGATCCATGAGCATGGAATGCTCTTCCATCTTTTTGTGTCTTCTTCAATTTCTTTCATGAGTGTTCTGTAGTTCCTTGAGTATAAACCCTTTACCTCTTTGGTTAGGTTTATTCTCAGGTATTGGTGCTATAGCAAATGGAATCCATTCTCTAATTTCTCTTTCTATATTTTCATTATTAGCGTATAAACAAGCAACTGACTTCTGTACACTGATTTCGTATCCTGCCGCATTTCTGAATTGCTGTATGAGTTCTAGTAGTTTGGGGGTGGAGTCATTTGGGTTTTCCATATAAAGTGTCATGTCATCTGCGAAGAGAGAGAGAGTTTGACTTCTTTGCCAGCTTGAATACCTTTTATTTCTTTTTGTTGTCTGATTGCTGTTGCTAGGTTGAACAACAGTGGTGAGAGTGGACATCCTTGTTGTGTTCCTGATCTCAAAGGGAAGGCTGTCAGCTTGTCCCCATTGAGGATGATATTAGCTGTGGGTTTTTCATAGATAGATTTTATGAAGTTGAGGAATGTTCCCTCCGATCCTGTACTTTGAATCATTTTAATCAGGAACGGATACTTGTATCCGTTCAAGTATCTTGTCAAATGCTTTTTCTGCATCAATTGAGAGGACCATGTAGTTCTTCTCTCTTCTCTTATTGATTTGTTCTGTCACATCGATTGATTTGTGAATGTTGAACCACTCTTGCATCCCATGGATAAATCCCACCTGGTCATGGTGGATAATCTTTTTAATGTACTGTTGGATCCTGTTAGCTAGGATCTTGTTGAGAATCTTGGCATCCATATTCATCAGGGATATTGGTCTGAAATTCTCCTTTAAAAAAAAAAAAGGAAAATTTAAAAAGCCTAAGTAAAGGAAGCAGTCAGTCTTCATGCTCCATCTTGTCAGAAAGCTCCCATAATGGGTAGACCAGTACACAGCTGCACCAGCGCGCTGGAAGAGAGTTCTGGCCTCCCAGGAGTTTCCCAGGATTGTTATCACTAGCATAGGGACTGCACACTTGGTAGTGGGAAGATGCAGCTTAGTTTGCATCAGCTCTTTATAGGCTTACCTTACCCTTGACTTACTAATGCTAATAAACCTGAAACTTGTTAGTAAAACAAACTTTGTTAATAATTTTGACATAAAGGGGAAACTTTTTTTTTTAAGATTTTATTTATTTATTTGAGAGACAGAGATCACAAGTAGGCAGAGAGGCTGGCAGAGAGAGGAGGGAGCAGGCTCCCTGCTGAGCAGGGAGCCCGATGCGGGGCTCGATCCCAGGACCTGGGATCATGACCTGGGCCGAAGGCAGAGGCTTTAACCCACTGAGCCACCCAGGTGCCCCACTTTTTTTTTTTTTTAAATGTATGGAATAACTGTCTAATCTTTCAAGAATGGAAATCCAAAAGAAAAAGAGATTAACTCAGCCATTTATTGAATAAATGTTTATTTCTGGCTTCCCTTGTGCCTAACACAGTCTGGGGACAAGCAGACAGGCATCTGCCATTCAGGTGTTCCAGTACACAGTAGGGTAGATGATTTTATGTGCTAGAGAAAAAAATGAAATAATGAAAGAGGCATAGGATTGTGGCCTTGGGGGAGGGAGGGTGATATTTTTAAGGGTGTCAGGGAAGGCCTCACAGAGATGGTGACTATTACAGAAAGACCCAACAATGGTGAGGGAGTGTGCCAGGAGAGTATCTAGGGAAGAGTAACCCGGGTAGAGAAAAAGACAAGTACAAAGCCCTGAGGCAGGAATGGGTCTGTTCTGTATCAGGAACAACAGCAAAGACGGGCAGTTTGACTGGAACATAGCGACCTCAGGAAAACGTAATTGGAGGTGAGGCCGGAGAGGTAATGAGGTCCTATTGTGCAGGCTTTTTTCAGCCATTACAAGGATTTTGGCTTTTACTCCAGGTGAGATGGGAAGTCACTGGAGGTTCTATCAGAGGCTGTGATTAAACTAAAAAAGGCAATACCAAAAAATACTGTATCTTGGCTTTGCTTTCAGAAGCTTTGGATTATTTTTTATAATAATTTGGGTTTTAACTATTGGCTTCTGGTGAGTAGCCATTCGTGGATTTAAACATTTGTGTCAATATTGTAAATTTCCCTGAAATACAGATCTTGGGTATTTCATTTAAATTTAAAGAAAGAAGGTATAATAGGAAGGTCTGTCTGTAGGTGTTCATTCCTAGGTGGCCCTGCTTTATTACTGATTTCTCCTTATGAATTGCCTGGGGAAAAAAAATAAACAAGGGAATATGCTTAGATGTAGGAGGATGGATACATATATATGTATATGTGTGTATATACATATGTAGCTACTCTATTTTAATGTATGTCTTGAATATTTTTATTATAAAATATAAACAGAAAAATACATAAAACGTAACTGTATAAAGATGAATTATAAAAAGCAAGTACTATATAACTACCAATTAGACCTAGAAATATATCATTCACAGCACCCAGAAGCTTGTTATATTGCGTATTTCTTCTAGATCATAACCCATACTCTTGTAGAGAATCTGACATTTATGATAATCATTTTCTGTATGATTTTACAACCTAGAATTCCTTACAAACCATTATAATTTAGTTTTGTCTGTTTTGGGGAATTTTATATAAATAGAATAATACAATATGTGTTCTTCTGTGTTTTCTTTTAGAACCTAACAATATGTTTGTAACTTTCAACCGTGTTGTTATGAGGAACAGTGGTTTAATTTCACTGCCATCTAGCTTCCTGTATGAGTGTGCCATAATTTATGTATCCATTCTACTGTTGATGTTTTTGGCTGTTAAGAACAATGCTGCTATGAACATTCTTATTTATGTGTGCTGATGGATGTGTAGGAATTTCTCTGGGCTGTTTTTGGGAGTGGAATTGCTGGATCTTTAGTTTTATTAGAAAATAAACTGTTTTTCAAAAGTAGTCATATTATTTTGCCCTCCTACCTGCAGAGTGAGAGGTGTCCCTGTTCCACTCAATCATCATCAGTATTGTCAGACTCCTTACATTTTGCCAATCCATTGGGTCTGAAAATGTTCACTGTAGCAAACTGAGAAACCAAAGCCTTAACACTTGAAAAAAAAAGAGAGAGTGAGTAAGGGACTAAAGGTATTGGTTTTAAGATTCACCAACATTCAGCATTTATATTTCTTACGGTTGATTGGTATCTTCCACCTAGAAATTCTTACCGAGTCTTAAGAGATAATCTGTCTGTCTACCCTCAGAGGGTCAGGAACTGTGTCTGTCTTCATCGTTGTCATCTTCTTCTTCTTCTTAAACACTGTGTCTTGCACAGTTGGTGTTGAGTAAATATTTGTTAAATGAATTCACCCTGATTCTTGCTACCCTTAAACCTTCTGATCAAGACTGGCCTGTTTTAGCATAAGTAGTTGAGGACAGTTTTTGGTGAGGGCTCCTTCCATTATTGATAGTTCCTAGACTGGTTTATGAAAATAAGAGAAGCTTATTTGTAGGTATACTGGTAAAAGTTAGTGTTTAGATTTTCAAGAAGAGATTCTGTTTTTATGGAATCACCCAGTGTGTATACAGTACTTTGTTTTCCCACAAAAGGGAAGAGAGTGTTAGAATTTTCTGCTTATATTAGGCTTCCGGAAGCCTGGCAACCACTCTTATCCCTGTTTCTGTTTTGAGTAACTTTGTAGGCTATGGTAGATAATTAGGGTGGTGGCGATGTTTAGCCAAGACATCTCAGTCTTCACCAGGAACCTCTCTGTGGTAGCGGTTCGTTAAAATCATAGAATACATTGCTTTGCTTAAGTGTATCTTGCTTTAGTGTAACTGACCCACAGAGCACTTTTTATAAAGGACATTTTATATAAAAACAAAATAATTCTTTCAACAGTCTGTGAGGTAACTGGCAAATGTGATGCTGACCCCCTCTTGTACGTGTTGATATGAAGCAATCCATTTGTTTCGTTTTTGCTGCATTCATAGGCCGGTTGATTAAAGGAATTAGCTTGGATTTTTTGGACTTTATCCTATCTAAGTATAATCTTTTTGAGAGATGACTAAAAAAATAGAATATCCAGAACTAGTGATAAAATACAAGAATGATAATTTTGAGTAGGAAATCCTAGCAAACGTATTACCTGCTTTTGTAAGGTTTTCCCTTTCGGAATAGCCAAAATGAGTAAAGACTTGTATGAGATTCAGAATCTGGGTAAGTCTGATTCATCGTCTCTATTTCCAACAGAGGTTTCCTGTTAGACCAGACAAATTAGAGTCTTCCTACTGACTTGACTTGGTGAGTTTTTACATAGTTTTATTTTAAACATAGTTTAAGATCATGAGGAAAAAAGCAGAATGAAATGCACAGAAATATTTACCATGACTTTAAAAAATGCACATCTTGAGTTTCATTTCAGTGCAAATGGTATGTAAAGTTGGAAGTCATGGAAGGTAAACATGTAAGGTTTGGGGGTTTTTTAATAATGGGCATTACAAATGATGTTACACATTTTTCATATGTGACTTCAAAAGAAGTTTTATTCTAAATATTCTTTCCTGGAGTTAACCATAGCTGTTCGTTCAGATCTGTGGTGACTGCAGCGTATAATATAAGGCTTTACACTAATGGTGGAAGGGAGAAAAGTTGGGATTTACATTTGCAATCAGTGGTTGCTAATGCATGATATGGAGACCTTAGAGTTAGGTGATTTTTCTCCCTAGAAAAAAGATCGTCAGGGAAATGAGGAATTACAGTTTATAAAAGGAAATAAAGTAAGTCATGGGCTTCATTTTACTCTGTTCAAGGCATTTGATTCTGAGCAGATTGCGTTTGTGTATGAATGTAGAGCTCATCTCTTTATGGGTAACTTAAAAAAAATGTTTCTGCCATTCAGGCCAGCATCTTAAAAATGTTACTTTATCCTATGAGATTCATGCCTCAAATGTTTATGTATGTTTTTATAGAGTTTTATCGGGTAAAATAGGTATTACTGCATTTTAGTTTTTTTAAAATCTGACACAAATTGTTGGGAGCCAGGAATTTCTGTTAAGACAGACATTCTGTCTAACTTTCCCCTGTTTTGTCTGCCTGTGTGGTTTTACTTTTTCCTTGTGTCATGAATTTTGGAATGAACATTTAAAAACAGAACTTCCTGCCTGCCCTTTGTTCCATTTAGCTTAGTTAGAACCTTAACATTAACATCAAAATTGGCTTATTTTTAATAACTTTAGAAGAAGAAGGAATTTATTTTCTGCAGATGGTTTCAAAGTAAGGAGCATGGACATGGCTCATGTGAACAGTCATCAGATTTTTTCTGGTAAGACTACAGTTAAAGGAGATTAAAGCAAAAATACACTTCGATCTCTCTTTCATAGTTGAAGGGAGGCCCAAGTGTCTCTTATAAAGAACAGTATCTCTAGAGAATACCAGATTCTGTAATGCTAGACAGTCGTAGTTAATACTGAAGTGAATTGGTTGCCTTTGTAGTATACCAAATTTTCTGGAGTAAATGGGTCTTTTCAGCTTTGAAGTTAATGAACTTAGTCCACATAGTTTACCCTAAGACCAGTTTAGATGATCTTCTTTGCTGTGTATTCCTTGAGCTCTTTCTGTAGCCAAATTGTGTTAATAAATATTTTTAAATGGTTTGACTAAAGTATAGATGGCCGGAAAGAACGGCATTGTTGAATTTGGCTTCTAGAAAGGCCAGAGGACCTAGTGGGGTTATGCAACCTCTGTTTGTTTCATGAAATGAGCCTTCTGTTTTTGAATTCCTTGCAGATTGGACACACTTAAATTGTATTAGGGCCAAGCCTTTCATGTGTTTACTATTCAAGTTTTATAAGGTTCTTCGTAGTTTGTAGTTGAGGGAAGAGGGTGAAAAACTGTAACCTCCCAAATCTTGAAACAGCTTTGAGAATGTAATTATATAATAAACATATCTTCTTAGCCATAAGGTTTTTCCCCCTCTTCCTCCTCCTCCTCCTTCTTTTTTTAAATTCTGTTCTAGCTCTTGTTTTAGAATGAATTTTCTCAACCTAGAGGAGAAATCTTTGATAACATGTGGGATGTGTTAAAATCTTCATCTTTCCTAAGTTTGCTCTTTGTGGCCCTAGAGATTTTTGTCCAAGTCATCAGTGGAATCAACACATTATTATAATTTGTGAAAAGAGAGAAGTTGCTGATTATTTGGTTCTGCCTATTTAACTTCATTTCTAAAGGTGTTTTCCTTTGGAACGAGATCCACTTTGAAGTGAAATAGCCCCTTTATAATCAGATTTGTTTACTGATTTGGATTCCTGTCTTTCCATTACAGACATCTCCCAGATGATGGATTTTGAAAGTGATGTGTGGAGAAGCTTAATCTAATGAGCCCTGCCTTTTTTTTTTTTTTTTTAAGCAGATGGAGGAGTTTTTTTGTTTTGTTTTGTTTTCTAGCAGGGGTTCAGTAATGAACAACAACAACACATCACCTGATTGTATTAGCCCAGAGTTTGTGAAACCTATGCTTGTTGTAGCCATGATTGGTTGTGCTGGATCCCTCATCCAGGTGGAGACAAGATGTGGATACATAGATGCATTTAACTCAGTCATTTTTACCTAAATTAAAAAGCAAAACAGTTCAAAAAGTCTTTCTTTAAGGTCTGAAAAGATGCTATCCTGCAGGACTGTTGAGTGGCATCTGCCCATTTTCAGGACAGACTTTTGCTTTTGGAACAGAGAGAGCCTGCATTGCATTCTCCCTGGATATATTTTTGGGGTAGTGAACTATGCTAATATGTCTGTGTAACAACTTTTATAGAATTGATAGTTTTTAGGGAGAGGGAAATGATTCCCCAGCCTTTAACTTAAATTGGCGATATTTTTTTGCTCTTTCATTTTTCTGGTAACTGGAAGAGTTTCATCCAAAGTGAGAATTATTCCATATTTTAACCTTTGAGCTGGCTGCAAAGGTCTCCTTGGGGACAAGGACACTTTGCAGTTATTTATAACCCGTGGAGAAGGGCAGTAAGGCTGGAAACAGCCAGCACACACTAAGGTTTGGGAGCCAGTGTTGTTTTGGTTATCCTACTGCTTTCCATGACTTGAGATTCTTTCCTGTACCTTCTTGTTCATCTTCATCTTGGCTTTGAATGAGCCTTACTAGCCAGGCTGTTTCTGTAAATCTCCATCTTATAACACTTAGATTGAGGAGAAGAAGGCCAAGTAGCCTTTTTATGTAATGAAAGTATATCTAATCCTGACGATCATTTCAGTGTCTATGCTTGCCTAAGATAGTTGTCAGCTGGGGAATCTTAAAGGTACTGACCTGCATACATATTAGTATACCTGTTTCTGAGTTTTCCTTAAATAACAATAGTTGCAAGAATAATTCAACTCTTAACTAGATAAATATTTGGCTATGGCAGAAAATATGTTCTACATATTAGCCTGGTATAGAAAAAACTTAGTTATGTGTCTAGGCATGTTTCAGGGATATGTCTGTCTCTCTGTATTAAACATGGACATGTTTACATGTGTATATATTTAATGTTAAATATGTTTTCTCTACATGTCAGTTTTAAGGGAATCAAACCATGTCAGATACGAAAATTTAAGGTCAAATCTAAGTAAAGATGCAAAGGATCTGCCTCAGTTTTATCAATATATTGGAATTTTATTATATAAGCTTCAACTTGAAAGAACTCGGAAGGTCTAGCCTGAATTCCTGACAGCTATTGTAGTGGTACTTTCTATGACCAGGATTGCCCTATTCTGGAAAATGTGCTCTCTTCGCTGTTGTCTTATGGATTTAGAACTCCCCATTTAGCTGTATAGGCTTATCTTATCTCCCAAGTTTTCTTGGAATTTTTTTTAATCGAAGGAGAGTATAGTTTTGGAACATACTGAATGAGTTATTTAAAATTGGAGTGAGATGAACTGATACTTTTCTTTTTGAAAACGTTCTATTGTTTTAAAAGTGTGCCTGGATTTCTGTAGCTGTTATTCACTCAGCAACTCCTAAACTTTAACCTTCTAACTGGAGCTCATTAAGGAAAAATATGAACCCCAAAGACAGTAGTCTAGTTATTCAACAATAATTTCATTGAACAAATATTTACTGAGTACCTGTTACAATACCATGTTAGGTATGGGGGATGCTGTTCTCTGATTGAGCTTAATTTCTGGAGGGGGGGAAGACATTAGACAAGTAAGAAACTTGAAACAGGATCATTTCAGGTAGTGATAATGAAGAAAATAAAATAGGATAATGTAATGAGAGGGGCAGCCTGGAAGTGGGGAGTCAGGGAAGGCCTCTCTGAAGATACTATACTTGATAGAACACTTAAATGACAAGGAGCCAGCTATGAAAAGATCTGAAGGCAGAAAGAGCTTTCCAGGCTCAGGAAAGAGCCTGGTGTGCTCTCTAAGTAGAATTAAAGGCCTGAGTGACTAAAGCATAGGGACTGTGAAGGGTAAGTGTTAGATGAGGTCAGGGACATAGACCAAGGTTTTGGCAGTCATGACAGAGGTAGATTTTACTCAGATAGCAATGGAAACCGATGGAGAATTCCTATCTTGTCTTCCATAAGGCTCTGGTTTATAAGCCATCACATCAGTTAGAAAAATTAATTGTAAAGCCTGCTAATGGCTTTAAATTTTTTTTTAAATTTTATTTGAAAAGATTTATATATTCACATATTCACAAAAGGGAAATACAATGGAAAGTTCCTTCCTACCCAAGCACCCTGGTTTCCTTCCTTGGAAGTAACCAGTGTCCCTGGGGTCTTATATAACTTTACAGAGAATATTATGTATATGTTAAAATAAATAATATTTTTTCCTCTTTAAATAGAAAGAATCTCCCCATTTTTAACAGATTTGTATTATATTGTCTATTTGTATCATAATTCATTTACTCAAACCCTTGTTGGACTTTCAGGTTTTTTCCATTCTTTTGTGATTACAAATAACACCACAGTGAAAAAAACCTTTTATATTTGTCATATTAAATATATCAGTAAGGTAAATTTCTAGAAGTGAAATTGCTAGATCAAAGGGTATGTGCATTTCTTATTCATTCTGATATACATTTCCCTTCATGCAGAATGTAACAATTTATACTCTAATCAGAAATGTTCTCCTTACCCTGAGCAAGTGTTATCAAACATTTTGATCTTTGCCAATTCACTGGGTGAATCAGTATGTGGTTTAATTTGCATTTATCTTATTATGAATGAGAGTTGAACATGTTTTCATATATTTCAGAGCCACGGGTATTTACATTTCTGCAAATCATGGCTATTCTTTGCCCA